TTTTTTTAAACCAAGAGCAAGAACTCAATCCAATCAAGACCAAGAAAAGACAGTCGGCCAGTCGCGACAGTAATTCAAACGTCATAATGTTTGCTGGAGTACTGAAATCTGGTTTCTGTGTATGCAGATGCCTTCCACATGCACAAAACATGATGAGAACCATCTGACAGAAGGGGAAACAGTTCTTTGTTTATTCTTGTTAGCCAACACAAAAAAGATCCACCAGCAAAAACAGCATCTTACAAGAACTGGGCGAAAGGTGTGTGAAGCACAGTATAGCAAAATACATATGAAGCCCACAGTGTGTGTACCTATTATCTTTCTGCGACATCCACAGTTGTGGGCTGTACGATGACTACACCATGAGGATAATTGAATTTTACTGTGAGTGCTCTGTAAGGTCAGCCAAATGGATTTCTTCACAAGGTAGCAAATAAAACAAAAACAAAATAATTGCCTTTACAATAAGAGAGCACTCCCCAATGAGTTCAGTTTTATGTTTGAACTTTTACTGCTGTGTGGGATTAAGTTTGAGTAATGAATTCTGGGTAATAAAGTCACAGTTTCACTTGGGCTTGCAGTGGTGCACGGCTAACCAGCTTGGATTGTCTCTGTTAGCATTTTTGACAATTACCAGGGTACTAACAGCAGATGGTGAAACGTCTAAGTTTAACAATAACAATGAATAACTACTCACCTTCTCTCCTGTTGACCTTAGCAAAGACCGGCCCATGACTACTGGACAGCTGGGAGGAGCTTCTGAAGGAGGATGGTAGAAGACTGGACATCAGTGGGTTGTCACAAACATCTGTTATCCAGCCACAGCAGAAAAGACAGAGATCAGTGTTTACACTCACGGTCTGTTTCACTGGACATTCATAAGGACTTTCTGTGAGGAGTTTGCATGTTCTCCCTTTGCCTGTGTTAGTGTTGTCTAGGTGCTCTGGTTTCCTCTTGTAGTCCAAAGACATTTAGGCTAAATGTTCATCCTGAATCCACCGTGGGTTTGGAAGTGGGAAAGATTCTGCACTTAAAGTCTGTATGTATCTCACTTTCCCAGGAACTGGCTTTGGTAAGGTGTCACATCCCCTCAACAAAATGATCAGATCTATCATAACTGTCAAGGGGGGAGGGGGGACCCCATCCACTCTTCCAAAACAGTTAGCCTAAAGGAAAGTACAGATTAAGAGTTTAGAGCTATGTAAGTGAGGCACATAATGTAGGATGCTTTGTATGGTCAGTAAGACTAGAAAAAGTGATCTATACTAGCCCATTTCAATCAGTCTCATAGGCTAATATCTCAGTGTGTTTTGCTCATATGATAGTGTCATCCCACCTGAAAGGTGAAACTTGGATTGCCCGATACCCAAAATATATGTAATCCTAGGTTGGGGGATAGATATGGGGCCTTAAAATGCTCTTTCAGGCAATAAGACAGCTTGGTTTCATGGAGAGACGTTTACATGCCTCATACACTCTAATGTTTATGGAAATCAAGGACAAGCAATACATCAACGTTCAAATTTTATATGAATTAGTGACTTATGTACCTGCAGTTGAGTCATTGATACAATGCAAAAACTTTATCATAAAGTGAAGTGCTTATTATGATGTTATGAATGGCTTTGATGATCAGAGGATCTACACTATGACAAGAGTTTGTCCACGGGCCTTTATTAGAAAATGTAAATTCTGCAGTAGTAATATAAAGTGTATATAAAATACTGACAAATGTTTGAGTATATTCATTCAGTCTTTAATATAATCAGTGTTATGCTTATTAAAGAAACACTGGACAAATTTTACCAGACCATTAATACAGGGTTTAAAGTAATAAAGGGCGAAAAATCTGATTGTGATACATTGATCACAATTACACAATGTGTACACAATTACTACAACTTGCAGCAGTGAAGTGTGCATATGAACTATACAATTTCATTGGTTTTCTGCTTTAATACTGACGCTGCTAGGATGAATCTTAAATATTGAATCAATGAACACAGAAAATAAATAATTTCTCTGTTACCGAACAAGGTCAAATGCTGGCGTACTGAACCTTAGTGATGTAAATTTATTTAAAAAATTCAGCACTAATGCCAACAGGTATTTCAGTAGAAATACTAGATATAACCATATCAGAAAAAAGTCTTGTTATTGCAACATATGTAACACATACTTTTATTTGTAATTGATCGTATACATTTACGACGAACAGCATCATAAATGCTGTTTCTCATCATCAGTTATAAGCGGTATCAATGACATTTTGTCTGATGTACGTACACTACAAGTGCATCTAGCGAGTTCTAGCAACAAATCAGCCACAAAATGCTTGGGCTTCTAAACTGATAACCTTTAAGACCCAAAGGATTCACTGCCAAAGGCAAGATGCCAAAAGAAACCAGAGATCCTCTTTCCATGATTCAGTGGTCCAGGACAAATTTTAAAATATGTCAGAAATATAAACAATACCAGTGAAGTGATTTTAATGTTGTGGCTCCCTGTGTTTAAATTGCTGTAGCGTATATCTGCCAATGCTACTTCACAGCTGTTGTTTTTTTGAAGTGCAAGAACACATTAGTGAACAGGATTACCCTTCGGTGGAGGACCCAGACTCGATATTTCTGTCTGTCAGAATATGTCATGCTGAAGAACCCTTTAGTGAAGAACTGAGGGCTGCTGTTCTCCTCATGACTGAAGTACTTATAAGACAGAGGCTGTGACTAATATGTCATTTATTCACAGGGAAGCCGTTTTCCCAGAACACCTGACTATTAGATCATTACAAATGTTCACTCATTTCTATGACTATTGTGTAATCTAACATTTTTTAATGGATTTCCACCACCAAGAAGAGTCGGCCTAAATTATTCACAATCCCTTCAGAGATGCCTGGTCCTGTCTCCCAACCATGACAACAAGGCTTCCTCTGAGATTACTTTGTCAACATTATTGTACTTCATTTCAAGCACAGAGGGATTTTCATTACCTGAGACTATAAACCAGAGACTGTTGACAGTTTTGAATAGCCTGTCATATCCACCTAAGCCTTTTCCATCTAAAACCGCTCTTCCCTGCAAGTACTTGAGAGTTTGTGCTTTTCTATTCAAGCTCAGGTGAATTTATTGTCGGAAATCTATTCTTTACTTTGGGTAGCCCTGTGCAAGAAATTGGATAATCACAACTGTCATTTCTTTCAGTAGTCCATGTTTTAAAACAACAGCAATACTTAAAAAAAATACTACACCACCAAACAGTTGCACAAAGTAATAAAGTAATATTAGTCAACTACAGAAAACAGGAAAACATCCAGGCATTTTCTTTGAAGCCGTGATGCACTGATGCAGATCCCATATGGACAGCAGTGACTTGTAAGCCCTTCATAACATAGGAAACAGTAAACATGTTTCTCACCTACAGAAAAATGAAGATTCAAGAACAGATAATTAAGCTGTGCAGTTTAAAATGACAGTGGGAATGACAAGGTGTTCAGGAAATGTATAATCTCACTATAAGATTATAAGCTGTGCAGTATAAAATGCCAGGATGTTTTCCTTAGTTTACTAATATTACATAACCTTGTTCATGTGTCCTCCTTAACAAGTGAGCCAAATCTCAACAAACCTTTGCACAACATTGTCACACCTAAAGCAAATATTAACATCTATGTTTTAAAAAAAGATTTATTATAAATCCCAACTTGTTTGATTTTCATATTTATACCCCCCTGCAAGTAAGCCACATTCTCCAACTGCCTTTTTCTCCCACATATCCGTAAATAACTTAACAGATACCAGAATTTGTGTCTGCAATACTGAATAAAGAATGTGAAAAAGCTGTTGTTTCCCACCTTATGGATGTGGATTTTGCTAGTTATGCTAAAGAGCTTTTTCTAACTTCTCATTTTGAACAGCAATTACGTAGTGTAGCTAAGTTACATGTAGCTAGCTAGCTTTAGCTTGTTAACAGACTAAAGTTTTAGCCTAGGTATAGCTAGCAAAATAATCAATGAATATCTTAGTCAGTCAGGTTAGCAAAGCAGACTAATTTAATGACCCATTATATTACAAACTTATTTCTTATGCAGGTCGTTATTTTAACAAAATAAAGTAATATAAAGGTACAAAGAAAGGCATGCAACTACTGTCATGGCTATGTTTAATTCCTTGCTGGAGGGGAGAGGGAGGGGAAACAGGGATACAAAGGAGGGCGGGGACAACTAATCTATAGTGCCTTTTTCACTGTGCAATATTTTTGTGTTAATATCCAACAGTGCAATAGACTCACAATAGTTGAAATGTGCAATTCCCTTGTATATTCTTATTTCTATTTATTCTATTTATCCCTATTGTATACTCTGTATTTATATATGTATCTTTATTTATATATGTGTATATGTGTATATATGGTATATTTCTGCTCACATTCTGCAACTTCTGTCGGTGCTGTGCTACTGAAAGCTGAATTTCCCAGAGAAACCCACCCGAGGGATAAATAAAGTTTCATCTAATCTAATCTAATCTAGCAAATGGATAAAACTGTGCTGTTCATGTGGCAGCATGAACTCTTGGACAACAAACGTCAATAATCCCATCATAAACAGTAGAGACTGGTAGTTTGGAAGAATAGATGTGCAGTAAATCACAAGTCTGTCAGTCAGAAGACTGCAGTTTGTGTCCTGTTTGGAATCTTAGCATTTTGAGTTTGTTTTCACTTGCTAAATAATCTACAGTTTTTACTCCCTAGAGTTAAACTATGCTGCACAACATTAACCCTGCTGCTTAAAATGATGCTTACTCAGTGCATTTAAATGCAGCACCCAGGGGTCCTCTGCAAGCATCCATATGTGACGAGTTGGCAGTGAGACTTGGCCTAATAACCTCGTGTCATCATCCACTGTGGCAAAAAGCACACATGTGACACTCCAGAGGCTTCAAGGAAACAGTACAGTTGTCTCGTGTGTGCCTGCTTCAGCAGATACTTGCTCGAGCCAACCTACAGTGGGTGAGCATGGACTCAAGCCCGAGCGACTGGATTCTGATTCTATTTCACTAAATGTGCACAGTCATCATCAATAACTGGTGATTTCAGCTGTTTTTTAAGCAGTGAATCTTTGCAGATTTTCATTTCAGTTCATTTATGGAAACAACATATAACCCATGCAACCTAACACATTTCATATCATTCTGATGCTGCTTCACCTGCGTCTAGCTTAGTCTAAAGCAGACAGAGATACTAAACAAGATATAGATGATGGCCGAAAGGGCATGAGTGCTGTAAAACATCATCAGATTTCTGAATAAGCAAGTCTGATTTTCTTCAGAGTTGCTGTGACATTTGAAAGGTGGCTGTGAGGGGGGAAAAAGTACTGATTAACACAGGCAAACATGATATAACATGATATAGCAATCATATATAAGATGCTTTGAAATCCCAGCCACTAACTAACTTTATTAGACTAAAAAACAGCTTCAAGTTTTGCTTAGAACTTTTACTGAGGACTAAACTGACAGAAGGACTAACTGGATTTGATTGTGGAATAATAATGCAAACACTGATAGAGCCTGTACTACCGGAAACCTAATATAACACTATTACAAGTAAACTAAAGCTATGCTTGAAATAAGTCTATTATTTTGAGTCCCTGATTCTGAGCGTTAATTATTTAAGTGTATGTTTTTGTCACTTAGTAAATTTCCACAAAGAAGTGGAATAAGGCTGTTTCAAGAACACTGTTTCTCTCAGCAAACCCACAAATCAAACACATAACACCTACAGACCCTGCTCCTTTGCCATGAAGCTCCC